AGAAAAAAGCCGGAAGTGGCGCTGTGGCTCAAGTGGTAGAGCGCTAGCCTTGAGCTGAAGAGCTGAGGGACAGCGCCCAGGCCCAGAGTTCAGGCCCCTCGACCGGACCCCCCTCCTCCCCCCCCAAAAAAAGAAGAAGTTTCCAGTAAGACTAGTGAAAAGAAGAATGCTCTTTTACTTGGAGTTCCTTTTGTGCTTTCTCTTCAGATTACTGTCTTGAAAGAGTCCTTTTAATGCCATTTTATTTTTAAGTGACCATAGGCTATCTGTTTACCAACAAAAGATTTTTTACGACTTGAGGTACAGTAAAATGTAAATTCTTTGCAATCTTGTAGGTCTTTATGATTTTCAATATTAGCTGAAATCTTAAATCACGTGACGTTCAAAGAGTATATTTAAAACTTTTCTGAGCGAGTATCTTTTATTTAAATATATTGGACTTGAAGTAATTTTGGTACTTCTAACATAAAGACTTCTAATATTCATTCAGCCTGTACCTTCAGCCTATCCTAGAATTACCAAACATACAAGAGCTATGTGTCCAAAACTGCATTTCAGAAGCAGTATCTTATATGAAATAATGGTAGTCATTCCAGTGCACTATGCTACAAGTGTATGGAATTAAGTAGCTTAGATTCTAAATGAAGTTGTTGAAAGGCAAAAGTAGTAACTTAAAGGAATAATTGCATTAGATGATAGTCTTTCACAGTTGAAATTGATGTCTAGGAAGACCTTCCTCCCTTTAAAGAAGCTGTTCTGCTTCCTTCCATTTCTGTAACAGATTTGTATTGGATAAAACACTAGTAGTCAGGGGCTGGGAAGGTGGCTCAGTGGTAGAGCGCTTGCCTTGCTTGCCTGAGGCCCTGGGTTCGATTCCCCAGCACCACATAAGCAAAAAGAAAAAAGCTGTAAGTGGCACTATGGCTCAAGTGGTAGAGCGATAACCTTGAGCTGAAGATCTGAGGGACAGTGCCCAGGCCCAGAGTTCAGGCCCCACGACCGGACCCCCCCAAAAAAAAACAACAAAAAACCACTAGTGGTCATTGTAAGAAAAAAAAAAAAAACTTTTGTAGTTGAATGAACAATATGAAGTGTTTTGAGAAAGG